CATAGCCCGCAAAGCCTCCGATGTCCTGTAAGCTGCCCCCTTGACGCGTGTGTGATAACTTTAGTCTCCAGTCAGCCATTGATCTGCGGCCATGACTCGTAGGAAGGTCTTACCTCATGTACCATGACTTTATCGAACAGCTGGAACAGGTCGACGGGAGTATAGTTGACCCAGGCCGCGAGCCTGTCTAGCTTGAGGTTCACGATCATAGTGGCTATCTTACCAGGGGTATACGTGCCGTGGAACTTAGCGGTTTGCTTCATGGCATAGTCGAGAAACCAAGGGCAAATTTGTAGAGTATCTGGCTCTTCTGGATCGCCCGGTTGAATTGTCCACGCAAGCGCATGGGTACAGTCGAACTTGGCATGGAGGAATTCCTTGGTCACTGACAGGTGGCACCAAGCCTCGTCAGCGAAAGGATTCTTCTGACGGCGAATCCAAGGACTTGAGATGGGGGTTCCTTGATGTTCTTACCCGGGTCGAACAATCTTTTGCCGCCACCTTCACGAGCTCGTCCCTCACGCAGACGGTCGTGCGTGCAAAATACTCGCTTCAAAGTATTGTCAATACTATTTAAGTGATGTATTGCAGATTGAGATGTAAAGAGACGGGAGACTTACAACATCGGCAGACGTCCTATCTCCTCCATGGGCTTCGCCTTCGACTGGCACCGCATTTCGCATAATGCCTGCCAAGTTGCCTTTCAAATCGTAAGTCAGCGCTTAAACTCCTGCTGATAAAATGTTGAGCCGGGACTGCGTCATACTCTTCACGCTCGTTCGCATCATATCCAGGCCAACTGTTCCATGTAACCACTGGAACAGCTGAGTCCCGTCTGCGTTGAAGTTCTCGTTGGTGAAGCCTTCTGCCAGACTCGCAAGCCGGTATGCGGATGCGAAAGCATCATTTAAGAAGTTGCGTTGCTCTCCCACACCTGGCCGTGTTAGTATGAAAGAAATTAAAAGGGTAAGGAAAGTTCGACTGCTCACTATCGTTCCGTTAGACATGAACACACAATCGGAGGATTCTTCAGCTTACCAGTCGTCTTGTAGAGCATATCCCGCGTGACAGAGCCGGACGAAAAGAAGCGTGAAGATAAGCAGTGTAGGCATGGGCCTCAGCTGGAGGAATGCAAATGGATTCATGGCTCGGGCTCAAGAATCATGTGAGTAGGTGATATACCTTGACCGCAAGTGCAAGACTAAACTCATCTGGGGTATGGAGTATCTTAAATACAACTGAAGCCCCTGTCCAAAGACAGTGAGTCCTCGTGAACTTGCTTTCGTATCTCTTGCCTAGTGCGGATGAACAACGCAGCCTACACATCATCCGCAGGTCTCTGCAAAGCCATTCGCGCTCAAGAATTCTGAGAACTGACCAAGACGCCGGCCTGCAGCTACAAATTATCCTTCATGGATACTCACCTGATGTGTTCTACTTGGCGAGCCTGGGGGCCAACCTTGCTTGGCCAGCGCGAGAGCGAGATCCAAACCCGGTGCCAGGACACGGTATCCAGCACTTCCGATAAAGCCAGACAACTTCAAACCCCTTTCCAAATATCATGATGATGGAATCCAAGGATAGGGGCCAGATGGACCTACTTGGCGTTGATAAAATAAAAGCATGGATGGCGTACGCCTGGGGGCAGTTCGGGGCGGTTGGAGCTTCAGAATCGGGTCACTTGGGGACATCTGGGGGCTCCTGCAAGAGGGGCGCCATCTGCTGGTTACGAGTGTAGCCAGTACGACTGGCGTTCAACCTCATTCAAAAAAGCCCAAGAGGCTGTACTGCAAATGCGATGCCTTGGACCCCAGATGCCAATCAGACCCCAGGTAGCAGTATCAGTCGGACCCCAGGGTAGGGTCGGATCGGCCCCTTCTTGGCGCATTTGCGTGCCATTGCTTTCTCAAACCAACGTCAGAACGGCACGGTAGCTGCGTGACTCGATAGCAACCAATTCCATTTCTTGTATCCGTCTCGATTTTACTACAACTATAAGTGAAGATAGCATTCTTGAGTTTGGTTCTATTCCAATTGAGATCTGTACCAGCAACTTTATGCACCAGTAGTTGCTTCAGTCTACCCACGGGCATCATGCAACATCGAATCTGCCTCGTCCTTACAGCCTTATTTAGTGTGGCATATTCTCAGGAGCCCCGAATCACAGCTGCCCCAGAGAAACTTTCCAAACGCCAGGGAAACGCGATTGAGTTACACCAAGACTATGCCGCCCCAATCGGTGTGGACACAAATTATCTCACGGTGGAGGGCACTACCACCAAGGTGAGGGCAATCTTAGCTTCAATGGCCTCGAGCCATGAAGCTTTCCGGGATGCCGTCAAAGCTTGAAAAAGAAATTGACCAGAAAAACATTACAGTGGATAGGTGTGTATTTGGATTATCTGACGGAGGTGACAAGAACGACCACCATCAACAATGTGGAGACAACAACTGTGGTAAAGCCCCAGCTTGCTGTAGCTACTGCCACCAAGGCTTCGGAGGGAATCAAAGCCGGCGATGTCACTGTTCTGCTGTCCGAGTCTGTTCAGAATGAACTGGACGTCATTATCAAGGAAGCTGCTGCGTCTTGCGCTGCTCCGTCCAGGCTAGGAAAACGCGATGGTAAGCCACGACTCTCAGTCAGCAGAACGAGGTGTGCTAACGCCGCTTGTTTTACCAGGTATGAGTTGTATGATCAATGCTATGCAAGGAGCCGCCCAGAATGACGAAGCTCTGGGGCTCGTGAACCCTGCGGAATGGGATGGATTCGTCCTGGAGCTTGCAGACAGTGCACCCGAGATCCTCGGAGCCGCGGTCCAAGTCCTCAAGACCCAGACCCAGAAGAACAAGTTTGCGATCATGGTTGCTGCTGCAGGCGCTGCTGGAGCCTGGGCGGTCAGTGAAGGTCTTGAGCCCCTTGTCGAGGTGGCTCACAAGTTCGTCTTTGGCGATGGTCTGTTTGGTCATGCAAAGGACGATTCAGCCAAGGATGGGGATAATGGTGATCCCACACCTACGAAGGCTGCGACAAGTACGACTACAGGTTCCTCATGTGGGCCTTCGGGTACAGTGAACGAGAACTCGGTACGTATCGTCCCTAGCTGTGTTCGAAGAACGGACCCCGTCGCTTACAAGTCTGAAGCCCGCCTGCGATGACGCCGATTGTAAGGGAAAAGACAAGGTTTGCCAGGCCGACGTGAGTATTACTCTCTACAGCAGAAACCGCGCCTTCCAGCTCATATCTGACCTCCCGTGTAGGGTCAAAACAAAGGATGCCCATGCGTTTACTGGACCAAAAGTATGATCGAAGGGCTGTTCGACAAAAAGTGGTCCGACGAACAACAAAAGATCTTGCAGGAACTTGAAGCCGGGCTGCCAAATGTGATTCCTCCTCAGTGTTTCCGCAACACCTACGGCGACGGTTTTGATGGAAAGCCGAGGGCAGAGCCGTCTGCGTTCTGTCATTGCTCCAGCGCTGGTGCCGAAGGGGGCATGACCAGAGGGAGCTTTCCCACCTTGAAAGGAGAGGGCGACATGGCCTGCACATACTCGACGATGCCTACGCAAACAATCAGCATCACCAGGAGACCAAAGCAGACGGCAGTCACATCCTGCAGACTAGAGTCAAGGTGAGAGGAGCCCCAACCGCAGCAGTATTGCTCACTATCGGGCCATTACGACCGATGCACTAAACCTTACGGTAGTCAAAGCTCAGGGCCGTATTGTACATGCAACGATGACAAAATTCACGGAGAGATCGTAACGACGTACCTCGGCAAGGAGACAACGGTTTGTCCCGATGCAACGGCTACCATGACTGGCATCCAAGACGGCACACCCACAGCGGAGCCCTCTTGTTATCCAACTCATGGCCCCGAGCATTCGGATCCCGTAATGGATGAACTGATCAAGATTTGCAACGCAGACAAGTCAGATTTTGCTGCTGTCTGTCGTAGCAATACCAATCGGAACATTGAGGTTCGCTGTCACGGGCAGAGAGGTCCGTGGGAGCCCGTCAGCAACAATAAATACTTTGCTTGGTTCAAGCCTGCAGACAAGGCTCCAGAGGACTGCAGGTATCTTTTCGGAGACAACGATGCAAAGGACGATGATGCCGTGGGTGCTCGGGTCGATGCCCTTTGCATCCCAGCATTCGAGGCTATCAAGAAGAAGTGCTCGTGGAATGGGGGTGAGGTCAAGAATCAGTGCGGCACCTTTGTGTATCAATCTTGTCCCCTGTCGAAATGGTGTGAGCCGGGGCATCCTCAAGGCAGTTGATGTCTGGTCTGAGTTTTCTCAGCTAGGGCACTGAATAAGGGATGCCTAGTTAAACAAGTCGACAATTCATGTGTTCATCAAGGCAATGCCCAGAAGGTTGAGACAAGACAAGAGGGGAATGGTATCGTCAACCCGAAGTAGGAATGAGTATCACGGTATAGATGTCAATGCTGCATGTTTTTCTCCTCAAGCGGCCCAAGCGAATCGCAAATAAGAGTTTCTCATGTACTAGAGGTGGTGATGGGCTGACACTGTACCGGAGACTTGTTTCATTGAAGGATTTGACACCTTGACTTTCCTACCTGAACACCGACACGGAAGTCCTAATAAATGCACACAGACCCTTGAGGAAGGATTGAAGCTAGCCTCCTGTGGGAAGACACGTTTCTGCAAGGAGTCCTTTGTCCGGTGGTGCTACGGGAGCTTTCAGCTCAATGCTTCACCGCCCTGGTGAACGTGTGGCAGCCAACTCGGTAGCTTCGGGACGCTACCTTGAAGCCCGCTGCATCCACCGCAGCACGGCCGTTGGTCATCCGATGCTCGTCCTGTGTCTATTGCACCATAATCGAAACACACGAGCTCCATCGCCTGTTCGTCTCTGAGCCTCCGCACAATGTAAGCTCACTTGCTTCACTGTCGACTGCCGTCAAGTCACAGAACTCGCACAATAGAGCCATGCGCATTGTCACATAGCAGCCCGAACAGCTTGAACACGACTTATAATGAACAGGAGCTTTCGCAGTATCTTGCCCCATCCTAATTTGCAATCATCCAGCTCTTCAGGTCTACCGCTGCCACAACCTTACCGCCGGCCCACCGGCCGCACACCCCGCCAGCTGACGCTCGTAGCTTGCGCACGATGCCGCCGCGGCAAGTCGAAGTGCGACGGCGATCGCCCGGTTTGCGGCAGCTGCAAGCGGAAGAAGACGGCCTGCGTCTACGATGTCGCCGAGACGAACACCACCCGAGCTATGGCTGCGAGGCAACAGCAAGCAAACCAACGACTTGAAAACGAACAGCTGCACGAACTTTTTCGCATTCTGCGCACACTGCCCCACGCGGACGCTCACGCCGCCTTAGACCAGCTACGCACAGCCGACAATGCCCTGTCAGCCCTGCGGTCCTTGACAGGTTCCCAATTGATGATCTACAGGCTCGATGAGTTCCCAGACCCCCAGGGGGGCAATCTGAGGCTCGAGGCCATCGACAGAGGTGCCCTCGTCGACAGCCCCTTCAAGGTCGAGGCACGTCCCTGGACCGCCGTCGCCGGGAGCGGAATCGTTTCGGAACTGATATCCTCCTTTTTCACATGGGATGCGTCTTTCTTCTACCCCTTTGTATACCGTGAGGCATTCATCGATGATATGAGAAACAGCAAAAACCCTCGAGAATCAAAGTACTGTTCTCCTTTTTTGGTGAATGCAATGTGCGCGCTTCGATGCGTAGGTCCCCATTGAGGGCTTGCAGGTACAAGCACGGGTCATGTTCATGGATTGACAATACCCTACAGTACACATCTCGGCGTGTCAAGTCTTTCGATGGCATAAGCGGACGCAAACTCGGCGCCCAATTCCTCGATGAAGCAAACAAGTGGCTTGAAATTGAGGGCCAGCGATCGACATTGCCTACCGCGCAGGGGTTGGCACTTTTGTTCACGCTGTACGCATATCGCGGAATGGACAGGGCCGGCATGGTATGACCAGATTCTTTTCAGTTATGCTCTAGGTTTCAATCGAGGCCGAAGCTGCCCCGGGTTCTTTGCGAATCTTGTCACTCACAGACCTCTTTTCTTCTCAGATGTACCGCTTTGCTGCCACTGAGATGTTCCTCCGTTTGGACCTTGAAGCTCGGTTCGAAGCCGTCAGCAACGACCAGCAAGGGAAGCGCGAGAAGGCCATCATCTCAACAGCACTTTGGGGGTTCTTTTGCTACGAAAGGTCAGAGTTGCACAGCTGTGAGGGGAGGAATACGAGCTAATCTGAGCAGCATCGTTTCCTATGTTTATATAGAACTCTCACTCATACGGCCGCCGCGGATACCCTGCGTGTTCGAATTCGAGGAGCTTGCAGAACAATCCAGTGTCAAAATCGACCTATACGGCAATCCGTACGTAGCCGACAGCCAGTTGCCCCCATTCACACGCAATATCCTTCACAACATATGTCAGTTGTCTCTGCTGCTCTACGAGGCCATGTCTTGGAATAGCGGCGAATCCCAAACGGCCGACTCGGAAGTAGATCTCGCGACTCGAAGACAGCTTCATCGCAAAGTAACACAGTGGAGAGTTGCATTGCCAGAGCACCTGCGGGAAGACATCAACTTCACCCCACAAACCTGTTTCTTGCGGTAAGTCATCGTTGAAAAGTGCCAAATCGACGAAATATACGCTGATGCGTAGGCTCACCCAGTGTCTATATGGATGAGGTTCTCGTCAGCGTCCTGCGACCACTCGATCCGAACACCGTCTTTTTGGACGATTTGACTGTCAAAGATATCTGCCTCGGCCTCGCCTACACAGACACGACATACATGATGCGATACATCAAGGAGTACACGCTCCGTGATTACTCCTGTGTTGTCTTGTGCGGACTATATAACGCGCTCTTCACGATGGCCCCTTACCTCGGAGACCCTACGATCCACCAGCTATTTGCTGAGACCTCGTATCTCATGCGGCAAACCGCGCGTGACTTTCCCATGTCTTCATTTATCCTGCAGGCTATCAAGGCTTTCGCCTGGACGTCTAGTCTGCCGCTTCCCATTGCTGCAGCGCCCTATTTCGAAGACCTTGGCATGACCAAGCAAGAATTGCAGGATCTTCCTCTGGGCTTTGCGTTGCCGAAGACGAATGAGATTCGAGACATTTTCATGAGAGAAGGGCAAGAGCTTTCCGGAGTGGCCGTCGATATGGGAAAGCTGCTTTCAAGGTGGTGCACTCTGTCTCTGGACGAGTGATTGAACCAAGCATTTCACAGTGATATACGACACAGCAACCTGTGGAGTTAGTACTCGGCACTTTGGTCTGGTTGACATTTGTGCTTAAAGCTAATCACTGAGTTGGAGGGTGGTTGTACCTGTACTTGTGATGAAGCAGAGGAACGAGCATCAGTTGTTCGGATCGTATTTTCATAAGTCAATCAGGGCGATCCTGCAATATCGCGATACCACTTCACCTTGTTGAGGTGGTCTTCTCGTGACATGGATCTTGCGACTCGATGGATCTAGTCGGCGTACACATGTGTGGACTCACCACGGTAGCACGCGAGGAGACCGTTCCTCATTCACGGGTCTGGAGGACGACCCCATAATTATCGCCCACTGCACTGGATCCCAGATATTTCTGGGCCGGCGCACCCCTGGGAGGCTCACTGTCTGCGGCATTGAAGACTTCAAGCAACGGAGATGAAGCGAGGGGAAGGTGGGAAGTCGCGGTGAGGTGTCTCGTCAGGTATTCGTCTGTACGCAAAAGTGCTCAGGCTGAGCATGAAGTCAAATCTGCCGTGGACGTACGGCTTTTCGTCTCCTTCCGGATCAATGGCCCCTGAGAGCTATTCCTATCTTGTCAGCCCTGTGAGGCTGCAGGCGTGCAGGCCAGAAGAATCTCCCCCGAAGTTGTCGGCCATCAAGATCATGGGTTCATCGTCAACTGAAGGAAATGAAACGGCGGGGCTACGGGGCATGTTCTAAGATTGAACAGCCTCTATAAGAGGCGAGCAGCTACAATTCGAAATGGAAATCTTGCAACCAGCCTTCGAGACTGCGGCTAGGCAAATGTGCACACACACTACATACAGCTGGCACCTAGAATCAGGAAGCGAGATCGCCAATATATCACTCGCAAAAAGACACTTACCGTGCCTCGCAAGTCACTCGGGCCGGTAATAACAACCATAGCTTCAAGCTAGTCACAATGCTTCGCCCAACCGTAAGCCCCCTAGACAAGCGAGACCTCCTCGTCCAGGTTATTTCCGCCAGCGTCTACGAAGCAGACTACTTTCCCGTCGAGCTCGGGGCAGCCTCCCGACTGACAGACTCCTTCCCTAGAACACCAAGCGTGGACTTTAGCAGCCACGTCGTCGCTGTTGGCCGCAAGGTCATCGATATCGGCTAAGGCGAGGTTGTGTTTGGCCGCCTGTTTTCAGTGAAGCCAGGGTCCCTTGCTGAGTACGTGGTCACGATCTATGAGAGCATCGCTATGTTGTCGTTCAGCGTCTCCCTAAGGATGGCGGGTGCCGCTTGAACGTCCTCTCTCGCAGCATACCAGAGTATCGCGCCATATGTCCAAGCCGATGACAAGGTATTCATCAACGGCGGGTCTGGCGGTGTCCGGTCCTTGGCTATTCAGATGGCCAAGGCCCTCGAATGCCACGTCACTGTCACCTGCTCGACGGACAAAATTGGTTTGTGCCAGAGCCCTCGGAGCCGACGAGTTCACTGGCTACAACAAGGTCGACGTCATGAACGCGCTATAACATAAGGTTCAAATATTTGCCTACGTCGTGGACAACGTCGTTGGATCACCACCGACCTGATTGCCGTGCAATCAAGTTGTCGGGGCGGAAACGTCATTACGCTTCGCTTGGGGGTGGGCTTTACGGGGCAAGTTGGGCTAATAGCTTCGTGGGAAACACGTTTCCGTCGTTCATGGGTGGCGCGGAGCACAAGTGGAAGTCACTCATACTGGAGCACTCGCATGCCGCCCTTACGCAGACAGCAAAGTGGATGGAAGAGGGCAACTCAAGACGATGATAGATTCGATACATGCGTTTGAGGAGGTACCAGAAGCTCTCAAATAGGCTTAAGAAGGGATTGATGACAGGCAAAGTGGTGATTCCCAAACAGCCTGTAGGAGGAGAAGGGGATGAGGAGGGATACTGAGACGCAGAAAAAAGACTTCTGGTCGGAACATTCGGTAGCCGACAGCCCCAGAGTTGGATCGACCACCAGACAGAGTGAGATTGCTTGCCGCTCTATAGACATGATGACTGGGCCAGGCAGCCAGTGTGATCCCTAAAGCTTCTCAACACAAAGTTGCGCTGCTTTGTTGATTTCTCGAATACAGCGGCAATTGCGACGCGCGGCTGCTGATATCCCTTGAATACCTACGTAGCCTGACCTTCCACAGAGAGCTGTTGCTGGTAAACGTTTCGATGAGTGGCCTTCATGCACATGCCAACAATCCATGGGCCCCCTGATCTCGGCTCTCTTGAGCCTTTCGTAACGTTAGCTTTCGGTCACCTACCCATTGATCAGCCATGATGATGATAGCACTCTGCAACTGCAGTCACTACTGTGCCCTTGCTTGAAGATTTATCCTTCATCTCAGACGCCGCTGGGAACACGATCACCCCCAGGAGTCTCCCCCTCGACATGCCATAGTATTCGCAACTTGCCACGACGTCGCATCCGCGGTGGATATCCAAGAGAACGCGATGACTACCATCGCGACAGCACAGGAATACGAGAGGGTCAAGGGTCCAAAGCGCGATTTGAAGATAGAAAGATGGATACAGCGGCCCAAGGCCAACGTTCGATCACACCGGCGGCAAACCTGGCGCCAAAATCCCGAGCAGCAAAGAACCACAAGACGACGCAAAAGGAGAGCAACCTCGCAAAAAGAGACTATCTAGCAACAAGCCTTGTGGAAGCGACAGCTTCCATGACAGCAGTCAAAGCCGCACGACAATCCCCCGCCACGAAGACCGAGCGCGGGCTCCGCCTCTGGCCGCGGCTCAAGCGTCTGATGCGGCCATGTGTCAGTAAACGCAGCAAGTCAGGGTCTAGAGGCGAGGTCTTGGTCTTGGGAGGGCTGGATCTCTTGGGGCAGGAGAGGCTATTCCTACCGGCTGTCTCGTCACGATGGGCCCGTTGTCCAGCGTCTTCTGCGACGCCAGGTCAACGACGGCCTGCATGGGCGCTTGCTTCGAGGGTTCAGCGAAAGTCGGCATTTTGAAGGACGTTCAGCACGTGTGAACAGAGATGAAGAAGAAAAAGACGGAGGAATGCCAAGAGTCGGAGGTGGTTGGTCGTAATTGATCTTGGCGCTCAAAGTTCACGGGGTTCGCGTCTCAAGATGGGACTGAATTGAGTTGACATTGATCGAGAAGGCGGTGTCCTCATTTGTTTATTATGTCCTCCTCACCCACTACCCCCCCTGGCAGCCCCTGCGCCCTCACTCACTGAGCCGAACGAGCCCCCTGTTTGAAGAGAGTCAATTGAGCACAGATCAGGCTGCCTCCGAGTCCGAGCTGAGCTGAGCTGCATGGCGCCTCGTCAACCAATGCTGGCGCACGAACAGAGTGGGTGAGTGGCTTATCGCATGGATAGCGGCACTTGTCAGTTGGTTGTGATGCGACCAGGGGTTGGTAACACCTATCTGGGGCATCCCCGCCCTGGCCTGGTTGTGCTCAGCCTCGATCTATTGTAGTAGTCATTCGTGGCAGTCAATGCCATGGCGAGCCTTGGCATGACTTCGCCGTTGTCAGACAGCGAGCAGAATGCCTCGCTTCGACGAGGGACACGCCAGCAATGCCAGATCACAGAACAGACACTTCGTTCATTGCTAAGTACGCATCATCATTACCATCAACGCCGCGGGAGCTCTTGAAACGTTGGCATGACATCTAGGCCTTTTGTAGTCCCAACCCACTACCACCTCCCAACCAATGCAATCTTCTACTCGCTGGCCGAAGCTTCGGCCTCCTCCTCGGCGGCTTCATCGTCGTCCTCTGACGCCGCGTCCGCAACCGACTCGGCGCCGTTGCCGTTTGTCTTGGCCACGGGGGCTGCCGTCTCCGCACCACCCTCACGCTCCAGTCGTAGCCACTCATCCCACTCGGGGAAAAGCTCCTCATCCTCCGTAGGTACTCCGAGCAGCTTCGACACGCGGCCCTTCTTGCTCTTGTCGAGGCTCTCCTTCCACTGCGCCACAACGCCCGTTGTCAGACTGGGCTTGTACGTCTGCGAGAAGAGCACGGCCTCTGATATCCTGCCTGTTCGGATAAGTGTCTCAACGCAGCCCTCGATGTTGCCGGCCAGCCATTGCGCGCTAAAGGCAACGTTGTGCGCGCCCGCCGCCTCGGCCTGTTCCGCCAGCTTCGTGAGGCCCTCGCGGTCCGCCGTCGAAGAGTAGAGCAGCAGCAGCGAGCCAAGGTCCTTGGCGTGCGTGAAGCACTCCTGGGCAAGGGCGACGTCCCACGCAGTGAGGGCAGCGTCACCCACCGTCTTCCATTTGTGCTCGACGTCCGCCTCTCTGGCGAGCTCGAGCGCAATGTCCAGCTGGTTGAGTCCGAGCGCCAGCTCAAACTTGTGCTCCGAGTCCGTCGCCACCTCCAGCGCAAGCTCCTTGTGGCCCTGGCCCTCGAGGAATCGCGCAATCTTGTTAAGCTGGTCCTGGGGTACGCTGGAAAGGAGTTCCTCAGCCGTCTCCATGTCACCGCGCAGCACAAGCGTCTGGTACTCAAGCACAGGGAGCGACAGGGCGAAGGAGGTGACGCCGACGTCTTTATCGGCAAGGTAGATGCGCGAGTCGCGCTGGATGTAGCCGAGGATGTACATGGGTTGGTCGAAATGAGACACCGTGTACGTCTGGTCGCCAACGAGATAGTTCAAGCGGTTTGTGCTGTTGGTGTAGATGAAGCAGTCGCCAACCCATTCTCCAGTGCGAACACTATCATCGGTTAGCAAAGTAGTCTCTCATTCCATCTCTCAATCTGTACATACCTCTCGTTGATGTCAGTGATAACCTCGAATGCGGCCTCGACACCATCCTCGTCAGCCTCGCCATTCTGCAGCGCCTCATTGTATGCTTCACGCGAGAAGCGCAGGACGTAGAACGAATCCTCGCAGGCCAAGGTGACCAGCTCACCACTGTCGGACCAGTAGACCTGAAAGCGTCAGCACCTCGTATCTACCGACAAAATTCTCGCCCAAACATACCTGTCTCGGCTCGACCTCAATTCGCCTGACGAGGCCGCCGCTGGCCCAGTCAAAGAAGGACACACCGCCCTGGCCCTTGACACCGAGCAGGACGCCACCGCTGAGGCCCTCGGCCTGGAAACCGACGTCGAGACCACCCGTCTTCTCCGTGAAGTTCTTGTACACCTTCACGCTCGTGGCCGATTCCCGAATGGCAAAGTCGTTGCTGTTCTCCTTGGCGCCCCAGACAAAGTCCAGCGCAGAGCCGAAAGCCTTATTCCTCCACGCCAGCGCAGTGTAGATGATGTATTCGCCGTCACCGCACACGGCAACAAATCGACCGTTCGGCGAGTGAAGGAGGGTTTGCGGGTAGACCTCGCAGCTGCCGAGATCCTTGGTGGGCAAGCTGATGGGCGTGTTGTCCTTGACGGAGGCGTCTGAAACATTGTCAGTAACTACGGTCACCAAGCTTATGCGCAGGTTTTCAATCACTTACCGCCGCCCTTGATGATCGAAGACACAACCTCGTTGTGTCTGGCCCAGATGAGCTTGCCAGAGGCGTCCATCGACACGGCCGGCTCCTCGCGACCGAGCTTCACGACGACGAGACCGTCGTCGAAACCCACAGCCACGCCCTGCTTGCCCTTCTGGTAGGAAACACACCAGGCGCGTTCGAGGCCGTAGTTGAGCACCTGCTCAAAACGGTACGTGTTGGCGTGCCATAACCGCACGGTGCCATCCTCGGAACCGGAGATAATGACGGGAAGCTCAGGGTGGTAGCAAGCCCAGGAGACGTTGTTCGTGTGGCCCTCCAGCGTGGCAATCAGCGACTTGGTGGTGTAGTCCCACACCTTGACGGTGCGGTCATCCGAGGTGGTGAGAAGGTATGGCTTGTCGGAATGGGGATAGTAATCGACATAGTTGACACCCTTGGTCTCGTGCGCCTCGAGAGTGAAGTTGGCGGTGGATGAGCCCAGGCTCCAGATCTTGACAGTGCGGTCGAGACAGGCCGAGGCGAACGTGTTGGTGTCCTTGGGGTTGATGGCGAGGCCCATGACGTAGTGGCCGTGGCCCTCGAAAACGCGGACGCACTTCCATCCCTTCTCCCAGTCCCAGAGCTTGATGGTCATGTCATCGGATGCGGTGAGCACGAAGGGCTGCGTCGGGTGAACAGCAATGGCGCGGATATAGTCGGGGTGGGCTTCGAAGGAGGTGATCTTCTCGGACGTGTTGTAGTTGTAGACGCGCAATTGGAAATCATCAGAGCCGCAGACAATCCAGTTCTTCCTCGCGATGAAGCGACCGGCGCGGACGGGGACATCGGTGAGCTCAAAGGTCTTGACGATCTGTTGCGTCTCGTACGACCAGATGTAGACGTGGCCTGAGAGGTGCTGTTAGGATACGGGACTTTACAATGGATCGCCGAAGCAGAAGATCCTATCGAGGAGCAGGTGGGCAAGGCATTACCAGAGTAGAGGGTCGTCAGGATCCATGGCTCTTGAGGGTGGAAATCAATGCCCTTGACCCGCTCGCTGCGGGCGAACAATTGCCTCTGTAGTGCCCAGGTTAGAATGTGCGATTCGAGGGACAAAGCGTGTTAAGGCGGACTGCTCCCCAGAAAGACAAACCTTCACGTCAATCCTCATGGTGGGCGCACTGTTGTCGTGGTAAGGGTGAAAGGGGGTTGCTGAGTTGGAGGATGGTTTGGTGGTGGGGTTGGTCGGTCAGCGAGTTCGTCTTTAGTTGGGTCTCATGGGTTCGGCGCGAGAAATTGAACGTATGGCTGGTTTCGAGATAGCTAGGCTGCTGGAAGCCGATGACAGCAGCCGCAGTATCGTGATTGTGGGGAGTCGAGGTGTTGAAAGCTGGCTTCCAGAGCTGTGGTGGGCTTAATTTTGGCTTGAGCTTCCTTCATCAGATGTGTCTTCACCAAAGGAGGTCGTGGCTGCCTGAGAATAGGCCATTTTTCAGGCATCAACTTTACCATGTGGGGACCTCTCCCTGCATCAGCATCAGGGGCCGCCGTGCTCTGTGGCGGCTGGGAACAGGTGGTCAGTCCCCGTCATCCACAGCGACTTGCCTGGCACCGAAACACCAAGTAGCTGGTAGGCAAGGTAGGTAAGGTAGGAAGGTCCGGTAGGGGCTTTGTGTTGGGAAATGTATTGACGGTGAAGACACGATACGCTCAACATCTCATAGGGTGTGGAGTACTTCGTAATTCGGCTGGACATCCGTTGCACGCAGTGAAGTGTAGGTGGCACTATTTCACACCGTGGGCCTTCGGCACCATATGGCCACTGTGGTCCCCATAAAATCTGTGAAATCTATACGACATCATTGTAAGATTTCGACGCATAAGAGACATCACATCCGGGCCGCGCATTGATCTGTGGTGTTTTGATGTAATCATATTTGGATAGTACTACCTGTCGCATTTTCATGCAGATCCTTCTGCCTCGTTGAAACCATTATTGATGTGACAAGACACAACAGCTACTTGGTTGAGGTTGAGGATGTGGATATCTTGATTCCCAAACGCCCTTTGTCGTGTAAGACCCGTTTCCCGCTCCCTAGTGAACAAAGAGAAGACAATAATTCGTGACACACAAAAGAAAGCATCTCACAGTTTGGCGGAGAGTCATTCCTCAGAGTCGGCCTGGACCCTGCGGACGACCTCAACAAGCATGGGATGGATCTTTTCAGAAGCCTGGATACCACAGACCTTCTGAACGACATCCTCGGGACCGTTCTCAGCCATGACCTTGGCGAGTTCCTTGCTTTCCTCGTCCTCCTCGACGTCCTGGAAGCGGAACGCCATCTCGGCAGCGCGCAGAAGAGCCTTGCAGCCAAGGTCGTTCTCAGCGAGCTCGGCAGCGGGGCCGACAAAGCGCTCCTTGCGGCTCAGCTTGCGCATGGGGGCACGGCCGACGCGCTCGACGGCATCTTCCAGATGGGGGTTGCCGATGCGCTTGATGATCTTCTCAGCGTACGCCTGCTGCTCCTCAAGGTTGATGCCGTGCTTGGTGACCATGAGCTCGGTGGTCTCCTTTAGAGCTTGGCGAACCTCCGCCAGAATTGCCTTGTCTTGCAGAGCATCGTAGACGGTGCGCTTACTGCGGTTGTATCCGTGGTAGGCGGCTGTGGCGTGGCCAGTGTTGACCGTGTAGAGCTTGCGCTCGATGTAGGGGCCAAGGTTGTCGACCCAGTTGATACCGTCAATGGTGGGGTGGCCAGTCTCAGCGAAGGGGCCGCTCTCAACGACCCACTCAAAGAACTTCTCCAGCTTCACGTCCAGACCGGCGTTGGGGTCTTGCGCGGGCACAATGCGGTCAATAGCCGAGTTGGCGTAGCGGGCACGCTCGTGGTGGTCCTCAAGACGGTGCTCAGGCGTGTTCTTGGGGTCCTTGATGTGACCGGCGAGGGTGTCAGTGGCGCCAATGGCGTTCTCGCAAGCAATGACCGCGATGGGGGCGAGGTCGTTGGAGCGCTTGTCAATACCCTTGGCGATAACGGGGGCAATGAAACGCAGAATGTTGGGTCCGACAGAGCAAGTGACGACGTCGGCGGTGGCAATCTCTTCAATGAGATCAGCCTCGTGTGTTTTGGAGTTGATGGCACGGTAGTTTGTGATGGTGTTCTCGTCGGTGCCCTCAGTGCCAACCTCGATGACCTTGTATGAGGGGGTGGCGTTGATCGAGTCGATCAGAGAATCGGCAACATCCGCGAAGACAACCTCGTAACCAGAGTTGTGGAGAAAGCATGCGACGAAGCCACGGCCTGTGTATGTGTTAATCGGGAGTGTTCGAGGGCGTTGGGGTCTGTTAGCGAGGAACATACCAATGTTGCCAGCACCGAAGTGGACGGCCTTCTTCGTAGTAGCGGGCGCCATGGTTGGAAGACGTGAGGGGTGCAGTTGGTTGTGGATAGGTGGGGGAGTGGGTGTGTGGGATATCGAGAGCCTCAAAGTCAGTTGATGGCCTTGTTGGAGAGAAGAGGAGAGGAGGATGTGAAAATTAAAGAGTACTCTTTGTTGAGGTACGAGGGAGGGGGGGCGGAACGACGGCTGACTTTATAGAAATGCAGTGACGACAGCGCCATCTGGCGGGAACGATGGGAAGTCACGTCCAGGCAAAGACAGATACGGGCTTGCGGGAAGCTGGCCAGGAACGGGCGGCTGGCCTGCTGGGCTGCGCCTTGGGCGATCCGCCAAGGTTCAAGGCGCAAGGCCCCCCCAAGAGCGAAGAAAAGGGCCCCAAGAGCACGCCGTCAGCTCGAGTGAACGCATCACATTGACGAGATACTACGCAAATCCAATGGAGAGGAGTGCTCCGATGCCCCTCCCCATCGCCGGGAAGAGGCAGGGGGCACATCACTGTGGGACCACGCCAGGCCTGGTGGAGTGCACTGCGTGCTCTTGCCCAATCCACATGCGGCCTCTTCTCTCGGAGGGGCACCGTGCTACGCCCAATGAGGCCAAGCGGGACGAAGCAATGATGGCATTGTCCCTTGCCTGCCCTTTGGACCTCCGCCTGCCTTGCGATTAGGAGGACGCCCCCTCGTCCGACAGGAGACGCCAGCGGCGCTGCAGGGTACTGGCCACAGTGGTCCAACGCCCCCGCTGCCTTGTCGAAACAGGCCGGCGTCATGCCGTGAGCGTATTTTGCGCAAGTTGGACCACATAACGGCCAATAAAACGGAATTCTTTTGCACCCCCAAAACCAGCCGCTCCACAGCCTCCTTCACGACTCCACCGAGGGGCATCGGGTCCTGGACTGAAGGGAGCAGAAGGGAGACACGACAACGAATGGCTCAAGCCTGCCTGCGCTGCCCAGATTCCGTCTGTCGGACTGGCGGTCGAGCGCTCCGGTTTGACGAGATTGAGTGTCATATGGGTGTTGCGATTTGGGATCGAAACAGTCCTCCTGCTGTCACATCGCCGCCCATCGACCACGAACCGAGACGCAACTCTCCCGATGATGTTGCCTCGGTTGCCGGTGCGTCTTACATCGGCCATGCTGGCTGTGCTCTCTCGGCTCATTCTCGACGTCTTACGGGCCTGGGTACAGAGGCTTGTCCAGCCGCCAGTCGCCGTCAGCAAGGCTTGAGGCTTAATGGGATCCCGGACGACGTGTCCCATATTCCCTGTACCTGATCCACAGATCAGACTTGGGTGCCTGCTGGTTGTCTCTTTGATCTAAGGTAGCGTCGCCTGTCAAGCCCGACAGGGAGCCTTGTGAAGGAACAGTGAGGGAACACCCAAACGGCCCGCCCTAGCTGTCACCAGTGGTGCCTGGCAGCGGCTCCAGGGACATACCAAGTACTACATGTATCGTGACAGGGGTTGCTCGTTGGAGCGTAACAGCCGTCAAACAATAGGCTGCCTTTCATCAAGTGAGGGATATAGTCAGGAAAAAGGCTCGGCGAGGTAGCCCAAAGCTTTCCTCTGTTCTCACTCACATGGATAGTTGAAACGGCACGGAGTGGCGCCACTCAGCAGCGCCGTCGGAGGCACGATGTTGGCCCCTTCTGCCTCTGTACTGCATTTCGCCTCTTGCATGCAGACCAGAGGTCAAAGACGGCCATAGTTGGCAGGATTTCCGGCCTTTGGCCGCCCGAGCCCGAGACATCGGAAGCCATTTGCCTTTCCTTGCGACGCCGGGACGGCATCCATGTTGTCCTTGGGCCGTCTGTTCTGGCTTATCGGCCTCCTGCGTCGAGTAAACCCCTCAATCTGGACGGGCGCTATTCTTCCAGGGCCACTCGCTACACTTTACAGTGAGTTGGTATGTTCTTGGGGACCAGCAGGGGGCTCATGCATCGCTTGTCGTCACTATCTGAGACCCACCAACGTCCGTTGACTCAGCGTGCCAGGCCAGCGGCTGAGGCCCTGGAGCAACAGGGCATGGGGCACGAAACAGCGTGAACGGGAAGGCAGAGTGGTCTTTGGTATCATCCAATGATCGGTTGAGGGTCATCAAAGGGGTGCATTTTAGCCCCGCCTGTTTGCATCCTCGTGGCCCGAAACGTCCGACAACGCCCCGTTTTCTGCGCCCGTTGCTTCCGTATTCTTCCTCCAGGCAGTCACAGGCCCTCTTTCCAAGATGGACGGTGTATCTCATTCCTTGCGCCCCACGATCACACACATCCAGCCTCTCTGAGCGGCTCTGGGCAAAGGTCGCCTGGTCATCTTGTCTCGGCCGTTTCCCCCGAAACACCTGAAAAGGCCTCTCTCTCTCTGTATTGCCCGCCCTGATCGTCATGACATGGTGGAACGTTCGTCACCCACGTTGGACGAAACGTAACCGCCATCATTCCGCTTCACGATACCCTCATGATGAATCACAAGAACCCGCTTGTTTGACTGGTTTATTCCATCAACTGCTACCGTTGAGTCGTCGTCGACAAGACCACCGGCTCGGCACGCCTTGCAGATATTTCATCGTCATCGTGCGCCACCCCATCACCCCTCTGTCGCCGCAAAGGTCTTCTAGTCGCAAGGGCCGGGGGCTCGCTCCTGTGCTCGTTCACAATCGATCTTGATGCCAAAACGACGACTTATCCCTCATCTGGAGGTGACGTCGCGAATAAGCCAGCCCCCCTTGTCCAAGGGTCACCAAAGTGCCGCACACCCTCAGCAATCGTCCGACCAGCCAATGGCCGATAACTTGCCATCGAAACACTAACCCGCAAGGCATCCCAGCTAATCGGAGGGATCCTCAACGACGGATCGCCTCAAGTCTCCACAGAAAATTCAAGGGATTTCTTCCTGCGCCTGGTGCGATCTTGGCATTCGTCATCCCGCTTTGGCCGATCGCAAACTGTTGGGCCCTGAAGGCATCGTCAGGACAGTTCATGAGCCGTCTTGTCTCTTGCTCGGCTCGGCCCTGGATCGCTGCTATCAAACGGCGTTGCATTTCACTTGCTCTTGTGCTGAGCGGCGACATCAAGGGGAAACATACAAGCTAGCATGACCCTCCTCGAAGGGAACGTTGACAACATGCGCGTTGGTTCGTCTGGGGCACATGTGGAAGACGCAAAGACCCCGCTTCACATACTATGTACGCTATCCTCGGGTGCGTCACTCGCAGCAGCACCCCGCATCTCACATGTACGACGTCAGTAGTGTCTGTCGGTCTGGCACGGTCGGTCAGCGCATGCTGCAGGCGACATTGAATGAAGCACGTCTCGCTGACGCTGGTCATGATCGGTGGGCACCCTCAATGACATGGCGGCAATGAGAGAACATGACCGAGCTGTCGAAATGTCGTCTAGACAAGCTTCCCCTTTCACCCCAGACTCCGAGCGGACCTGTTCGCCGGATCGACAGGTCAAGAGGGATGCGCATCTCCAGCTTCCCTTCGCAGACCTGTCAATCTCTTCTGCCGGCTCCAGAACTCCAGTTATTGTTCGCTTGTCACGGATTTCCCCAGATGGCATGTGGTCATAGCATCTTTGGGTCACCCCAGCCTATCAGCAACTGGTCGATCTGGGGAAAGGTGGTGGTGCTTGGCTGTCAAGAGGGTGCTCCTGTCCGTCATCCAATAGGACTTGGAAGCGACGGCGCATCAAGTTTACGCATCGCCAGAAGCAAACCCCATTGGCATCATCAAACGGTACTGTTGCCGATGTCCATTCTAGTGGGCTCCATCGACATCATCAAACATAATCACAAAAAGCACTAGCCTCCCACATCACGTCACACGAAGAAGAGCCTCCTTACACTACTAGTCTGATCTCCGACGCCCCGTCTGCACAGTCATCGTGGCCATCCCTCGTGCCACACTAACAATGGTCAGAACTTGGGACAGGCGCCGCCGTGGCGATATTCCCTGCAGTCCACATTTGATTGCGTTTCGTTGGACTTGGCCATCCCCATGGCCCAGATCTAGACTCCGTCCAACACGAGGGGTTTTTCCCTTTCACCACGTCCCGCACAGCCCCCGCTGACACAACAAGACGTTGTTCGAAAGATCAGCGTTCAATGAATCCACCCAGCAACGGTCCAAACGTTCTCGCTGGCTGCCATGTTTCCTCCGTGTTGATTGTAATGCACATGCATGGGCAACATCGCTTGCGGAGCGACGACGTTCCGGCCGGAGAATCACCTCGGGCCGCTGGTCGTGGGCCCTTCCAAACGCCTCACCCGCAGTTTTTTCGTCCACAGTAAATGAGACCCCCCAAGGGTCCCTTGAGCAAACCGAGCCGCGTGGTGGGGCCGACTTGACCCGGTGGTTGCGCTCTTTCGACACACCCGGTGTTGCGCGCCCGAAGCAGCCGCCTGCTTCTGCACCCACCCCATGCAACGCGCGCTGCATCAAGGGACTGCGATTGAATCGCGGGGGTGGATGGTTGGAGCAGGCCGACGAGGAGGAGGCCGCCGATGATGGGGAGGGGGGGAGACCGACGTTGGGATGAGAAGCAACATGCTGTGTGAATCCTCATGTTGGCTGTCTACCAGGCGCCGGTTGGTCCTCACAGGCGCGACATTCGATTCTCTGTGTGCCATGCGTCCGGGACGTTGAGCAGCGTAATTTTGACGTGTTCAGCAATCCCCTATGGCTACCAAGAGCAGCTGGTAAGCGCAAAGTCGATGAACTCGAAACCGATCCTTATCGTGAGCCCAAACTCCTCCCTCCTCCGCTATCCCCGCAGCATGCCTGCGCGCCCCCCGCCGTCGACTCCAACGGCGGCCAAGACGTCCAGCAGCAGATGGGATGCGCGGATACCCGGCAATGCATATCTTGGCAGTCACGCAGGACACGACATTCGCGGTTCTGCTTGGGTGCTCGCTTGTGACCTGCGTGGTTTGCGTTACGGCATATTTCCCCCTTGGCTGATGATCGTGGATCGTGAGGGGCACATGTATCCATGAGGGGTTTGCATCGGGGG